TTTTAGCCGTTTGGCTGTAATACGTGTTGGTAAAGTAAAATTTTCGAAAGTTTTCTATAGAAATGTGCACAAACTGTTGTAAATACAAAACATTTATTTACACATTTCAACTGAAATTTGCACAAAATTAAAGCAGAACAAGCATATTCTGGGAAAATCATAGCTGGCAGTAATTCGTATGTCAATTGTTTACAATCGATCAATTAAGCCTCGCGTAATCCAATCGCGGTCCGCTAAATAAACCGACACACATCGTCGATAATCACAGCCTCCCTCATACTTTGTCCACGCTTTTTTTCACCCAGTTTTCGCATGAAAATCAATGAATTCGCAGAAATCGAACATCAAATACGTACACATGCACACACAAACACACAACTCAAAACAAAACAGAAATTAATTAACTCATTATGAAGTTGAGATAATTAATGGGGATTCATAAACAACATTAATTAAAGTTTAACAATCAGTGTTTTTCAATTCAATTTTCTATTTGTCCACATCAAAATCAAAGTGCAGATTCGATTTTTACAACCAATTTCATATGGATTTATGAAAAATTTACATAAATTTAGGTAGAATTTTGAAAATAACTAAACTATATTCGTGCAAATTGTAACATTCGACGCATTTTTACCTTACAAATTAAATCATGAAAATGTTTTGAAAAAATACATTCTGGAAATTAATAATTACATTTGTGCAAATCTTAAATTTGTTTTTCACGTGAATAAAAGTTAACAATATATTAAATTTAATTTGAGTCAATGAAAGTAAGGATTTCACTTCACTTAATTAGTCTTTAAGAAACATATTTTCATTATACAATAATCTAGATTTAAAACATTTAAGCAAACAATTAGTTTGCATTAAAATTTGTCTTTCTCTTAACTACGTACGTTTATTTCCCTGCATCTGCGTTTTGCACAAATCCTTCGTTAATTTTTTCGCGCTTAAATCCGAGAGACTTTTTTTTCTACAAAAATCGACCGACATCTGCGGACTCGGACGGAATGAAATGTCGACGGCTGGAATGAATTACTGGAGCGAGCGCTGTTATATAGAATGCTAATTCGAAATGAATCCACGGAAACGACGGAAGTAATTGTCATTCCATTCTCATTTTTTTTGTCATATTCTGCCCTGTTTCATTTTCCTCTATTTCTTTCAATCTTTAAACCATTCGTTCTAATAAAAGAGAGAAATAAAAATTATAAATGGCAACAAAAGAAACGTCGCAGCTGTTCCAGTTACATAATTATTATTAACTGCTTACAATTTGCAGCAATTTTAATCATTTTTTTTTGTTATTAACTTTAATTTAGTATAATTTCTTTAGTATTTTAATTATAATAATAGAATAATTGTAATAATTTTGGGAATTACGGTATATCAATCTTCAACGTTAAATAAGATAAGCAATTTATTAGATTAACTTTAGTCCTTGACAAAAATTGTGTCTTTATTTATTATCAAATATCTTTAGAACTAATTATAGTATATTAAAGAATAATCAGTCTAATTAAAGCTAAAAGTATAAGTAATAAATATTTTGTGGAAGATTTTATAAGATGATTAGATTTTGAGAGAAATTAATTGACAAATTTGTGCTATAAAAATTCAGAAAATATATAGGCAAAAAATTGTGATTTTACATTTTGGTTAATATCTTAAGAACAACTAACAATATGTTAATGACTAAATAGTCTAATTAAGTTTTAAAAGATTTTTCATGATGATTATATTTTTAAGAGAAATTAATTGACAAATTTGTACTTGAAAAACGTAAAATTTCATAATTAACATTTTAGCAAATATCTCTAGAACTAATAACTGTATATTAATGCCTAAATATTCTAATTAAAGCTAAAAATATAGGTAATAAATAGGTTATAAAAGAGGAGATGTGTTGTTTACATTTTGAAAGAAAAAATGAGTGTAAAATTTGAACTTGAAACATTGAATATCTCCAGATGAAAATAAAGTAAATATATGAAATCTCTAGCTTCCTAAACTGAAATACATAGCGAAAAACAAATATGGAATTGTGTATTCCAATATGCACACAGCAATTGCTTTGGGTTTATGTAAACGCCGTGGTGTATTTGCTTTTGCACTGGAATATATACGTGGTTTAGTACGTCTCCGGAGGACTTACAACTGAATCATTTAACCATTCTTCTAGCTTATTCATCGTTATTGTTCCCCCATAATGAAATGCGTTTAATTGGATTCCAATTGGTAATGTTTGCTGTAAATTTGAATTATTTCAGATATGTGCAGCAGACGACGAATTCCCCAGTCGATATGAGGGTGGGAATCCATACGGGGGCGGTTCTCGCCGGAGTTTTGGGCCAGAGGCAGTGGCAATTCGACGTCTACTCGAAGGACGTGGAGCTGGCCAACAAAATGGAGAGCAGCGGATTAGCCGGGTAATTAAACTAACTTGCACTTACCTCACACACCTGCGATCGCGCACTTAACGACGCTCGCTAACTACTAATTTCTTGGGCTTGGGCATACTCGGATGCTCATGAATGTTTGAGCCGAAATTGATGGTGTGTGGATGGAGCGGGAGAGGTGTGATGGTAATAATCGAAATGCTTTGTCTTCAGTTATTGACTAATTACTCGAGAACTAACAACAATAGACTAATTAACAAATATTCTGATTAAAGCTAAAACTATAGTCATTATTATTGTCGAAAAAGGATATTTGTAGTTCCTTTAGTTTTAGAGGAATTCGTTGTCGAAACTGGAACTTTACAATTTTAGGACGTGTTGTGTCCAAGAGAAATTATTTAATAATTAGGTCACAGAAAGTATTCACATAAAAACATGCAATTCAGTAAAATAAAATTAATCAATATTTCTCTTACGTTATGATCAATTCATGGTGTTTCCATGAAAATAACAAATCCCAACTGAAGATCTAAAGGAAACAACAAGAAATAACAACATAAAACTTTCAGATTCCTATTTTATAGATGTTTCGTCTATATATTTTTTCTTTTTCCATCATTTCTTCTCCTGAAATATTAAAGCTTGTTGTCTAAATTTGAACTTTACAATTTTTGGAGGTGTTGTGTCAAAGAGAAATTACTTAATAATTAAGTCACAGCAAGTATTCAAACACAACTAACAACAATAGACTAATTAACAAATATTCTAATTAAAGCTAAAACTATAGTCATTATTACTGTCGAAAAAGGATATTTGTAGTTCCTTTAGTTTTAGAGGAATTCGTTGTCGAAACTTGAACTTTACAATTTTAGGAGGTGTTGTGTCCAAGAGAAATTATTTAATAATTAAGTCACAGAAAGTATTCACATAAAAACATGCAATTCAGTAAAATAAAATTAATCAATATTTCTCTTATGTTATATGATCAATTCATGTTATTTCTAAGAAAATAACAAATCTCAACTGAAGATCTAAAGGAAACAACAAGCAATAACAACATAAAACTTTCAGATTCCCATTTTATAGATGTTTCGTCTATATATTTTTTCCTTTTCCATCATTTCTTCTCCTGAAATATTAAAGCTTGTTGTCTAAACCTGAACTTTACAATTTTTGAAGGTGTTGTGTCAAAGAGAAATTATTTAATAATTAAGTCACAGCAAGTATTCAAACACAACTAACGACAATAAACTAATTAACAAATATTCTAATTAAAGCTAAAACTATAGGCATTATTACTGTCGAAAAAGGATATTTGTAGTTCCTTTAGTTTTAGAGGAATTCGTTGTCGAAACTTGAACTTTACAATTTTAGGAGTGGTGTGTCCAAGAGAAATTATTTAATAATTAAGTCACAGAAAGTATTCATATAAAAACATGCAATTCAGTAAAATATAATTAATCAATATTTCTCTTATGTTATATGATCAATTCATGGTATTTCCAAGAAAATAACAAATCCGAACTGAAGGAAACAACAAGAAATAACAACATAAAACTTTCAGATTCCCATTTTATAGATGTTTCGTCTATATATTTTTTTTCTTCTTCCATCATTCCGACGCTTTCTTCTCCTGAAATATTAACGTTCTCGCGATCCACCGATCCTATTATGTGGCTCTCTACGGCCCAGAATCGAAACGTAATCTCTCGTGTTTGATTTGCGAGGACGTAAAAAGCGCCCTTGGGAGGCTTTGTATTTATCACAGAGAGAGAGAAAAAGAACAAAAGCGTGTCGCATCTTCCGATCGTTCAGGTATATTTACCATATTCTCGTAATAAATCTGAATTATAATTCTGATATTTGAATAATACGAATAACAAAAACATATACTAAGTATGATTTATTATCTTTTCAAGTTGACCTTTCCAAAAAATATAAAAGCGTTAAAGGTCAGACGTTCTCAACTGAAAAATTGAGAGCATTAGTTTTTTTCAGTTTATTTGCTGAAATATCATTAAAAATGATTAAAAAAATGTTTATATTTTATTTGGGTTCTGAAATAGTTTATTGAAATTCAATTATACAAATGGAAATTGAATTGCCATTCGCATCGTGCAATAAACAACGGTTTATTGAATATTAGTGCCGCTTTATTAATAAATAAATAGAGTTTTTTTATATACATTCGCTTGATGAGTGAAGGATGTTTATTTATATGTAAATTGTCTATTAAATAGGAAGTGTAATGGTAATAATTGAAATGCACTGTCTTCAGTTATTACCTAATTACTCGAGAACTAATAAGAGTACATTAATTAGCAAATATTCTTATTAAAGATAAATCTATATTGATTATTTCAGTTATAGAAGATTGTCTATGATTCTTATCGTTTTGAAATAAATTTGTTGTTAAATTTGAACTTTAAAATTTTGAGAAATTACATTTTCAGTTTTCAGCAAATATCTCTAAAATTAGTACAAGTATAATAAGTATCAAAGAGTATAATTAAAGCTAAAACTATCACAATTAAATTGATTATAGAGATATATTTATGTTTCTCTTATTTTTATAGGAATTTATTGAGAAAATTTAAGAAATTTCATTTCTAAATTTCAGCAAATATCTAGAAAATTAGTAAAAAAATATTAAATACCAAATAGTATAATTAAAGTTAAAACTATAGTAGTTAAACTGCTTATAGAAAGATCTTTGTATTTCCATTACTTTTAGAGTAAAATATTGTCAAAGTTGAACTTTAAAATTATGAGAAATTACATTTTCAGTTTTCAGCAAATATCTTTGAAATTAGTACAAATATAATAAGTATCAAACAGTATAATTAAAGCTGAAACTATAGTAGTTAAACTGTTTATATAAGGATATTTGTATTTCAATTACTTTTAGAGAAAATTATTCTCAAAATTGAACTTTAAAATTTCGAGAAATTACATTTTCAGATTATCTAAAATCTATAATTATTGATATACAGATAAATCTTTATTGATTACTTCAATTATAGAAGATTGTCTATGATTCTTATCGTTTTGATATGAATTTGTTGATAAATTTGAACTATAAAATTTTGAGAAATTACATTTTCAATTTTCAGCAAAAAATATATATTATCAAATAGTATAATTAAAGCTAAAACTATAGTAATTAAACTGCTTATATAAAGATCTTTGTAATTCCATTATTTTTACAGCAAATTATTGTCAAAGTTCAACTTTAAAATTATGAGAAATTACGTTTTCAGCAAATATCTATGAAATTAATACAAGTATAATAAGTATCAAAGAGTATAATTAAAGCTAAAACTATAGTAGTTAAACTCCTCATATAAGGATCTTCATATTTCCATTACTTTTAAAGCAAATCATTCTCAAAATTGAACTTTAAAATTTTGAGAAATTACATTTTCAGATTATCTAAAATCTACAATTATTGAAATAATTCTTTGAAAATTTAGCAATATTTCACTGAAATAAATTCATCAATAAATTGAAAAATCGTAAAAGGAAACGTGCTTATATTATCATAAAGCAATTTCAATGTGTAATTGCATTTGAAATGTTATTTGTTTTGTTGGAGTTCATTAGGCAATGTTCTTTATCTTTCTTATGAAACGTAACGTCTTGAATAATTCATTCGCACATTTCTGTTTCGAAAATGTCCTGAGCGAGGAAACAGCGCGAATTAAATTACGCCCAAGAAACGTTGAGAGAAGAGAGGAAAAGACGACAGAAAAAAAAAAGATATATGTAATATGTAAGTGCATGAAAGTAAAAAAATGAAGTAAAACGTATCAAGAAAAGAAACTAAGTTGATTTTCTCATGAAGATTCACGTTTTTTTACGCATTTTCTGTCTGAAATAAGCGTAACACAATTTGATTTTATTTAGATTGAATCAAGCCTCAAGATATATAAAAATCAATGTTGGTTTTTATAAAAGAGTTTTTTTTTATAAAGATTACTCAATAATAAGTGTGCAGAGCTTTTAAAAATTAAACGAAAATAAGCTTCAAGTAGGAAAACTTTAGCACGTCATTTCTGAAGTGTTGAGGATGATAGTTATGTGGATTTTTATGTTTGACGATGGAAGTGAAGAGAAGCGAAAACCACTCGACGAAGGAAAAATGAGCGATGAAACGTAACACCGGCTAATATGGTGGAAACAAATGACCACCATCATAGTTAACTAATACCCATTTTTTTCTCTCTTCATCCTCTTAACTTAATGTCCACATAAAAGCGAAATAACCGAGACAATCATTCTTTGCAACCCTTCACGATAATTAAGAAAAAACTGTATGTGAAGGTCATCCAATTAATTTAAGAAAATTAGAGTTTTCATTGAAGATTAAGTTAGATTATCTTAAATCATGATTAAGTTGTAGAAAATTTTGTTACGTGATTCCACAAATAACTTGAATCAAGTAACAGTTTAGTGTGTAAATGTGTTTAAAGTATTCTAACAAGTAAATTTACTTGACCCTTTAAATGACAAGTAATTACTGAAATTTTAATAACTTTGAGGAATCAATTGTGAATCTATGTATTTTTCAGGAATCAACTGTAAACTTACTGAAATCAATTGTAACTTAATGAAAGTTTTAGGAATTATCTGTAGATCATTGTAATTTACAGGAATCAATTATGAATCAATGAAATTTTCAGGAATTAATTATGAATTGATGAAAACTTACTGAAATCAAATGTAAATTAATGAAATATTCAGGAATTATCTGTGATCAATGCAATTTATAAGAATCAATTATGAATCAATTAAACTTTTAGGAATTAAGTGTAAATTGATGAAATTTTAAAAGCTCAAATGTAAATCTATTTAGGTTTCAGGAATTTATAGCAAATCAAATACAATTTACTGAAATTAAGAGTGAATAAATTGTAAATGAATGCAATTTTCAGAAAATAATTATGAATCTAGGTAATTTAAAGAAATTTAATGTAAATCTTTACAACTTTCAAGAATCAATTGTGAATCTATGCATTTTTCAGGAATCAACTGTAAACTTACTGAAATCAATTGTAACTTAATGAAAGTTTCAGGAATTATATGTAGATCATTGCAATTTATAGGAATCAATTATGAATCAAGGAAACTTTTAGGAATTAAGTGTAAATTTATGAAATTTTAAAAACTCAAATGTAAATCTATTTAAGTTTCAGGAATTTATAGCAAATGAAATACAATTTACTGAAATTAAGAGTGAATAAATTGTAAATTATTGCAATTTTCAGAAAATAATTATGAATTTAGGTAATTTAAACGAATTGAATGTAAATCTTTACAACTTTCAGGAATCAATTGTGAATCTATGTATTTTTCAGGAAATAATAAATCAATGCAATTTCGAACAATAATGTGATCATTAATAAGTGCAATTATTTCTATAAAAAAACACTGGATATTTTTACTCAATTAACGTTAATTAACTTTTTCGGATTATTGTTGACATTTTCATTTTATTTTCCGGTTTTGTAGTGTTTTCACGTCGGCTTTTGTAACGGATTTTTGTCGAAACGTAAACACCGCAGCGAACGCCGCACGAATTTAAGCTAATCCAGATTGGAATACGAAATTAATTCAGTTCGTGTGCGAATTTCTCGGGAATCTCGGGTTTTCCTCATCATCAATGCACGTTTGCTGATTAACAAAACATGCCCGGATATAACTGAATATGCGATATTATACTGAAACGCTAATTAACTGATTAGCAACATCAAATAATATAATTGAGAGTTTCTATTGATTATTCCTGTATAAGTTTATTATTGATTCATGAAACTCGAATAGATTTACAATTTTACATTGATTTACATAATTTCCTGAAAATTCCACTAATTTACAATTCATTTGTATAGATTCCTGAAAAATGTATTGATTTACAGTTGATTCTTTAAAATTGCATCAATTTTCATTTGATTTATGAGATTGATTTAAAAGTGTACATCGATTTACATTCGTTTCTGAAATTTCCACTAAAATGCAAGAGATTTCTAAATTTTGTATTAATTTTCAGTTCCTAAAATTTCCACTAATTTACAAAACATTCACAATTGATTTCTGAAAGTTTGATTGATTTTGCTTCCTGAAAAATGTTTTCATTTAAAATTGCATCAATTTACATTTAATTCCTGAAAATTTCAACGATTTGAAAATTCATTCTGAATGTTTAATTGTTTCCTGTAAATTGCATTGATCTACAGATAATTCCTGAAAGTTTCATTAATTTACAATTGATTTCAGTAAATTTACAATTGATTCCTGAAAATTGCATAGATTCACAATTGATTCCTGAAAGTTGTAAAGATTTACATTCAATTCCTTTAAATTACTTATATTCATAATTAATTTCTGAAAATTGCATTAATTTCAGTAAATTGTATTTTATTTGCTATAAATTCCTGAAATCTAAATAGAATTACATTTGATTTTTTTAAATTTCATCAATGTATACTTAATTCCAGAAAGTTTCATTGATTCATAATTGATTCCTATAAATTGCAATGATATACAGATAATTCCTGATAGTTTAATTAATTTACAATTGATTTCAGTAAGTTTACAGTCGATTCCAAAAAATGAATAGATTCACAATTGATTCCTGAAAGTTGTAAAGATTTACACTCAATTCCTTTAAATTACCTAGATTCATAATTAATTTCTGAAAATTGCATTAATTTACAATTTATTCACTCTTAATTTCAGTAAATTGTATTTGATTTGCTATAAATTCCTGAAACCTAAATAGATTTACATTTGATTTTTTAAAAATTCATCAATTTACACTTAATTCCTAAAAGTTTCATTCATTCATAATTGATTCCTGTAAATTACATTGATTTACAGATAATTCCTGAAAGTTTCATTAATTTACAATTGATTTCAGTAAGAGTTTACAATTGATTCCTGAAAAGTGCATGGATTCACAACTGATTCCTGAAAGTTGTAAAAATTTACATTAAATTCCTTTAAATTACCTAGATTCATAATTAATTTCTGAAAATTGCTTTAATTTCAGTAAATTGTATTTGATTTGCTATAAATTCCTGAAACCTAAATAGATTTACATTAATTCCTTAATTCTTCAAAGTTTCATAAATTCACAAATACTTCCTGTAAACTGTATTGATTTACAGACGATTGCTGAAAGTTGCATTGATTTATATATAATTCCTGAAAGTTTCCTAAATTTACAATTTATTCACAATTCATTTCAGCAAGTTTACAGTTGATTTCTAAAAATTGCATTTGTGATTCATAAAAGTTATAAAGATTTACAATTAATTCCTTCAAATTCACTCCTAATTTTAGCAAGTTGAATTGATTTGCAATAGTTTCCTGAAATCTGAATTGTTTTACAAATGATTCTCTAAAATTGAATCCTTTGAATGTATTCCTGAAAATGAAATTCCTGAAATTTATTAACACTATCAATAGAGTAAATATGAAAAAAGTAATTTTATTTTTATTGTTAGGAGAGTGCATATATCAGCTACAACTCTTTCGTTCCTGAGTGGAGAATTCGAAGTGGAGCCGGCTTATGGTGAAAAACGAGAAGAATCCTTGAGAATTGCCGGCCTGAAGACGTATTTCATCGTTAGCGTCTTAAAACCGGTAAGAGAGAAGAAAAAAACCGGGTATTTCTTAAAAAAAAAAGCAAACAAATTGTATTTTTTTTAAATTAGTTTCAATCGGATGTGAAGCTGGAGGTGCAGAACGGAGCTGGAGTCCTTCACGAGGAAGACAGCTGCGTGATCAACGACTCAGTTTCTGATGGAACAGCGGGAAAATGCGAGGAAACGGTGAGTGAATTATTCACAGTTACAACCAAAATCGATATATAAAAGACTAAACTTCTTTATTTTATTTTTTTATTAACTGTAACTTCTCCTTATCAAACCTTTATTTCGGGAGCAAAATCTCGTTAAGGAAAGAGAAGAAAAAATGGAAGCATTGTATCATTAAATTGGATTTGGGTTCGTGTTTATAAGAAAAGATTGGATGAATGCGAAGCTGAAAATCAATGATGCCATTTAGACGGATACTAAGTGCTACTCGCATGACTTTTGTTTTCGATTTTCTTCTTTTTATATCGATGAAATGGAAGCAGTCAATGGTCGCGATAAAAGTAGTTCAATCCATTTGTCTAACTCATTATCAGTATGTGTGCTTTAGTGAATAGTTTTGTTGTTTTTTTTTATGATGAATGGATGAAGAAAAGTCATAAAAATGGAAATACCAAATTATAGGTTTGGTATAATGTAGAGGTTTCAATGAAAACAGAAACTTAAGCTAATGTTTGTGTTTGTCTCACTAAATTTTATTTGTTTGGTAAATGTACACATTTACTACACATGAAACTAATAAATTGATAAATAATGAAGTTTTAATGATCTCTGAAAGAAGTGTACTTTTTATTATTTAGTAAAATTGTAAATTAATATGAATTATGTATTGAGTTGTAAAAGTGTTCTTTAAAATTTTTCATTTTCTTTTTACATAAAAATTTGCAGCTAAATATATAAATGTTAATCAGATTTAGTTTCTGTCAAACTCTTGCGTATTGAATTTTTAGGTTATATTAAATCAGGTTATGTTATGTCAATTTACGTTTCGCTTTTTTATTTTGTTGATATTTTTAGCTAAAAATTGAGTATTTTTAGGTTAGGATACGTGTGGTTTTCCTATATCAATTTAGGTTAGGTTAGTATAATTTGTTCGATAACTTGTTTTAGGTTACAATAAGTGAGGTTAAAGTTAGGTTAGGCTTTTATTAGCTAAATTAATTAGTTCATACTTATTAATTAGTTATTGTATATATTTACCATTTATTTACACTTGTAATTTAAATAAGAAGAAGAATAATTATAAAAAAGTAAAATTGTATAAAAATGCAATAATTTAAGAATTTACAAGTAAAAATTACAAACATATAATATACGAAATATTCAACGAGACGTTACATCAGGAATAGAGAGAGAAAAAAATGTTGTTATCCTTGAAAGCAAAGTTTCTGAAAGGATTCCGAAGCCGAGGGATGCTCATCAAATGTTTTCCTTTTTGTTTTTCTTTCTCCCCCCAGATGATGTACAACAACTGCGATCGTAATAAAACAAAATAAAAACAGAAATGCAACGCTGGGACAAGCAGTTAAAAACCCCTGCGGTGAACTTCAGCGAACGCAGATCGTAAATAAACCAATTAAAAAAAACACACAAAAAAAATATATTCTCCTCTTGTCCTGTGTATAAATCACTCGAAACTCATGAAATTCTATGCATTTTCATCGAATGAATGGCGAAAAACGATCGTTGTTTTAGAGCGTTCTGTATGAGAGACAACAAAGAAAGAAAAAAACAAATTTTCAGATACAAACAAATGATGCTTCAAATAAAAAAGAAAGCTTCAAAAACATGGCTGAAATACGCTTGTATGTTATTATTCCACAGCTATCTGCGATTCACTCATAAAACTTAACACACATGAAATGAACGCTGAAAATTGAAACGACAACAAATTTTCAGAATCAAATAAAAGTTGAAAATGCAAATATTAAAGAAAAATTGTATACTGAAAAACAAATGCTGAAAATAAAAAAAAAGAACGCTTCAAAAACATGACTGAAATACGCTTGTACATTATTATTCCACAGCTATCTGCGATTCACTCCTAAAACTTAACACACATGAAATGAACGCTGAAAATTGAAACGACAACAAAATTTTCAGAAACAAATAAAAGTTGAAAATGCAAATATTAAAGAAAAATTGTATACTGAAAAACAAATGCTGAAAATAAAAAAAAAAGAAGAACGCTTTAAAAACATGGCTGAAATACGTTTGTACATTATTATTCCACAGCTATCTGCGATTCACTTCTAAAACTTAACACAAATGAAATAAACGCTGGAAATGAAAACGACAACAAATTTTCAGAATCAAATAAAAGTTGAAAATGCAAATATTAAAGAAAAATTGTATACTGAAAAACAAATTCTGAAAATAAAAAAAAAGAACGCTTCAAAAACATGGCTGAAATACGCTTGTACATTATTATTATTCCACAGCTATCTGCGATTCACTCCTAAAACTTAACACACATGAAATGAACGCTGAAAATTGAAACGACAACAAATTTTCAGAAACAAATAAAAGTTGAAAATGCAAATATTAAAGAAAAATTGTATACTGAAAAACAAATGCTGAAAATAAAAAAAAGAAGAACGCTTTAAAAACATGGCTGAAATACGCTTGTACATTATTATTCCAAAACTATCTGCGATTCATTCCTAAATCTTAGCAGAAATGAAATGAACGCTGAAAATGAAAACGACAACAAATTTTCAGAAACAAACAAAAGTTGAAAATGCAAATATTAAAGAAAAATTGTATACTGAAGAACAAATGCTTAAAATAAAAAAAAAGAACGGCTGAAATACGTAATTATTGCACGGCCAACTACGAAAACTGCGCAGGAAACATCAGCTACTTTCATTTCCGACAAATCAATTCCTAAAATAATCACTTTTCCCAGCAATTTCAACTAAAACACTCGTAATTATGTTATAGTTTATGCAATTATTGAGTTCACGTAATGTTTCAGCAAAACGGAAACCAATTGGTCGCGATGAGATCCCGACAGGATTCCGAAGACTTCAAGATGAGACTCAGGAAGGAACTGGTGAATCGCGACGGACACAGGTAAAAACCAAAAGAAATTTTCATCAACTTTTTTTCAAATCTATTTTAATTTCTATAATTTTAAACCTAATTTGTGGAATCTACAATTTTTGTTATGTTTCTTATAGGGAACTGCACAAAAGCACGAATTTCTGCACACTATCATTCAGGAATCAGGATCTGGAGACGGCCTATCTGCATCACATCGAGAGCGTTTCCAGTATAACTCTTCTGATGTTCTTAATTGTGAGATTGACAATCGGCATATCGCATTTCTTCGTGCTTCCAAGGTTAACTCGGTGCGTTTCTTCACGAAATGATGGTTTTACCTAAAACGAAACTGTTGCAGGAAACTACTGAGCCTGATGACATTCGCGTGCGGCAACATCATCCTGATGACGATGAGTTTGATCGCATTCTCAGAAATCGTCCCAATGGTAAATTGCAATTACGATTAAAATTATCGAAATAATTTGGTGAACGTTTCCAGAGGATTTTCTCGTGCTTCAAGAAGTGTTGCCGATGCATCAACAAGTCCATGTGGATGAGAAGGATATTGGCTACAACTTGCATAGTCGTTTTAGCAACAGTCAACATCATAGACACAGTAAAACTTAAATAATATCAAGTGAAATCATCAAGTTTATTATCGTTTCGTAATATTACAGTTTGCCTGCACTCCTTCCACACCAAACTTGAGGAATTGCTCTTTGGTGGAGGAGACGAATCAAGCGTGCATGTATCCATCGTACTTCAGCTATTTCGCTGTACTTATCCTAGTGACTGCAGCTCTTCCAGCATCACTTTCGTACACCTACAAATCAGCTTTGATGATTTTAATCACTTTAGTGCATTGTTTCATCAACATCCAAGTGCTTGGTCCTGTCTTGGACTGCGAAGAATCCCGAAAACACTTCTCCAGGTTTCCTTAACATATTTACAACTGAAAATATGAATTAACAAACTACATTTTACAGTTTAACCAAAGGGAAATACACTTTATCCATTCTACTACTAACAGCTACTTTCGCTCTTTCTTTCCTGGCAAGACACGTAATTATTGTTATTTACAAATCTTTAGTTTTCTTTTTTTTTTTGAATAATTTTTACAAACAGATGGAGCAAGTTGCAAGAGTCCTGTTTCTCTGGAGGAACGAGATCGAGGAGCAAAGAGTTTGCGCCACGGATATGCGTAGGAGGAACGAGGCTTTAGTCTACAACATCCTTCCACCTCACGTCGCCGAGCACTTCCTTGGGAATAGGAAGAGGCAGCACGATGAGCTCTACTCTCAGAGTTACGCCGAAGTCGGAGTACTTTTCGCTTCGATGCCCAACTTTTCAGGTAATTTAAGCCAACATTATTTAATATCAAATAATTTCAAAGTGTCATAAAAGAAGCGTTACGTTTTTAAATCACCGCCATTTCGTTTCTATTAAACTCAAATGAAATTTGATTCATTAATCATAAATTATAAGTAATCTAGTTTTAGGAACGTTTAAAAAATGAAATGCAAATCACTTCTATTCAAAGTTATTAACAAATTATTATTACAAATTATTTTATTAAATTTCAGGTAATTTAAGCCAACTATATTTAATATAAAAAAAAATAAATAATTTCAAAGTGTCATAAAAGAAGCGTTACGTTTTTAAATCGCCGCCATTTCGTTTCTATTAGACTCAAATGAAATTTGATTCATTAATCGTAAATTATAAGTAATCTAGTTTTAGAAACGTTTAAAAAATGAAATGCAAATCACTTCTATTAAAAGTTATTAACAAATTATTACTACAAATTATTTTATTAAATTTCAGGTTATTTAAGCCAACTATATTTAATATCAAAAAAAAAATTAATTTCAAAGTGTCATAAAAGAAGCGTTACGTTTTTAAATCACCGCCATTTCGTTTCTATTAAAATCAAATGAAATTTGATTCATTAATCGTAAATTATAAGTAATCTAGTTTCAGAAACGTTTAAAAAATGAAATGCAAATCACTTCTATTAAAAGTTATTAACAAATTATTATTACAAATTATTTTATTAAATTTCAGGTAATTTAAACCAACTTTATTTAATATCAAAAAAAAAAATAATTTCAAAGCGTCATAAAAGAAGCGTTACGTTTTTAAATCACCGCCATTTCGTTTCTATTAAACTCAAATGAAATTTTATTCATTAATCGTAAATTATAAGTAATCTAGTTTAAATTACAAATTATTTTATTAAATTTCAGGTAATTTAAGCCAACTTCATTTAATATCAAAAAAAAATATTAATTTCAAAGTGTCATAAAAGAAACGTTACGTTTTTAAATCATCGCCATTTCATTTCTATTAAACTCAAATGAAATTTGATTCATTAATCGTAAATTATAAGTAATCTAGTTTTAGAAACGTTTAAAAAATGAAATGCAAATCACTTCTATTAAAAGTTATTAACAAATTATTATTACAAATTATTTTATTAAATTTCAGGTAATTTAAGCCAACTTTATTTAATATCAAAAAAAATATATTAATTTCAAAGTGTCATAAAACAAACGTTACGTTTTTAAATCACCGCCATTTCGTTTCTATTAAACTCAAATGAAATTTGATTCATTAATCGTAAATTATAATTAATCTAGTTTTAGAAACGTTTAAAAAATGAAATGCAAATCACTTCTATTAAAAGTTATTAACAAATTATTATTACAAATTATTTTATTAAATTTCAGGTAATTTAAACCAACTTTATTTAATATCAAAAAAAAATATTAATTTCAAAGTGTCATAAAAGAAGCGTTACGTTTTTAAATCACCGCCATTTCGTTTCTATTTTACCTAAATTAAATTTTATTCATTAATCATAAATTATAAGTAATCTAGTTTTAGAAACGTTTAAAAAATGAAATGCAAATCACTTCTATTAAAAGTTATTAACAAATTATTATTACAAATTATTTTATTAAATTTCAGGTAATTTAAACCAACTTTATTTAATATCAAAAAAAAAATATTAATTTCAAAGTGTCATAAAAGAAGCGTTACGTTTTTATATCATCGCCATTTCGTTTCTATTAAAATCAAATGAAATTTGATTCATTAATCGTAAATTATAAGTAATCTAGTTTTAGAAACGTTTAAAAAATGAAATGCAAATCACTTCTATTAAAAGTTATTAACAAATTATTATTACAAATTATTTTATTAAATTTCAGGTAATTTAAGCCAACTTTATTTAATATCAAAAAAAAAATTAATTTCAAAGTGTCATATAAGAAACGTTACGTTTTTATATCATCGCCATTTCGTTTCTATTAAACTCAAATGAAATTTGATTCATTAATCGTAAATTATAAGTAATCTAGTTTTAGAAACGTTTAAAAAATGAAATGCAAATCACTTCTATTAAAAGTTATTAACAAATTATTATTACAAATTATTTTATTAAATTTCAGGTAATTTAAGCCAACTTTATTTAATATCAAAAAAAAATATTAATTTCAAAGCGTCATAAAAGAAGCGTTACGTTTTTAAATCACCGCCATTTCGTTTCCATTAAACTCAAATGAAATTTGATTCATTAATCGTAAATTATAAGTAATCTAGTTTTAGAAACGTTTAAAAAATGAAATTCAAATCACTTCTATTAAAAGTTATTAACAAATTATTATTACAATTTATTTTATTAAATTTCAGGTAATTTAAGCCAACTTTATTTAATATCAAAAAAAAATATTTATTTCAAAGTGTTACGTTTTTATATCACCGCCATTTCGTTTCTATTAAACTCAAATGAAATTTTATTCATTAATATTAAATTATAAGTAATCTAGTTTTATAAAAGTTTAAAAAATGTTATGAAAATCATTTCTATTAAAAGTTATTAACAAATGAAATAGTAACGTTTCTTTTATGACATATTTAGAAATTACTAATTTCAATATTATTACTTTTTTTTTATAGATTTTTACTCGGAGGAGACTGTGAATAATCAGGGATTGGAGTGTTTGAGATTCCTGAACGAAGTTATATCGGATTTCGATGCGGTAATTATAAGAAATTGCGTGAATTATAATAAATGTTAATGATTGAATTTTACAGTTGTTGGAATTGCCTCAGTTTCAAGATATCATCAAAATCAAGACGATCGGATCCACTTATATGGCAGCGAGCGGTCTAAATCCGACGAGAAGAGTCCGGGTAAATATTAGAGTTGGAAAGCCGCGTAGTTTGCAAATGCAATTACGGTTAAACGTTTGATCAAATTGCAAGGCACTTTGTCCGATCATCACGATGATGAAGATCGGTGCAGTTTTAATGGAACTATACCAATTACGTGTTAATTCGAGAAGGGTTTACACACTCACTCACTCTGTATTTATCCTCGTGCGAATTCAATCCAATTACGCTCAGGTAATTCTTCGTAAACCAAAGCGTAATTGGTTGCATACGCTTCAATATTATCGAATTACTTTGTCAATAAATGATAATTACATCATTGTTTAGCTTTATCATAATTTGTAATAGATTTTGTTCTTTACAGTCGGATGATCCAATCACTATGCGTTGGGCACATTTAGCTCTTCTGGTAGAATTCGCTCTTGAGCTGAAGAATGCATTACAGAGCATCAACGAGCAGAGCTTCAATCATTTCGTACTGAAATTGGGTATAAATCATGGCCCGATCACGGCTGGAGTGATTGGGGCGAGAAAACCGCACTACGATATTTGGGGAAACACCGTGAACGTTGCGTCAAGAATGGAAAGCACCGGAAAAGTCGGTTGCATTCAGGTAATCAACAGCAAAACTTACAATCAACTTTATTGTTATTAACAATTGTTAAATTGCAAGGTCACTGAGGAAACCTGCCAAATCCTGCAGAGCTTCGGTTACCAGTTCGAGCAGAGAGGTCTGGTCGCGGTGAAGGGTAAAGGTCAACTCATGACCTACTACTTGCTGGGAAAAGCAGGGAAAATCACGCCACCTACAGTTCCTGTTTCACCCATCATGGGAGGACACTCGATCGTAGTGACGGCGGCTGAAGAGGACGAATCGCACGACGATAAAACGGATAAAACTATCGTAGAATGTCCTGATTCTAGAAGCGATTGTTTCACGGATAGCGAAGGACCTCCTCCGCTTACAGTCGAAGAGACTTGCAGTCGCGATTTAACCGAAAACACTCTTCTACTCAGCGAGAACTAATCCATATCATTTCTATTGGAAGAAAGGCCTAAGAACCTTAACCCATTCACATCATCAACTTTAATTACATTTTTTTTTAGATCATATGTTTATGTACTTGCAAAGCAAGCCACGTGTGTATTATATAGAAAACAAAATTAATATATAAATATAGTTGGAATTGTAAATAATGTGTTTAGAGGCTTAAAAATAGTAAACTAAAACATAAAATAAACGAAGATTAGCTTCGTTCACTCTTATTTAAGTTTACGAGAAAACATAGCTGGCTATAATAATAAACAAAAGAAGAATTAAAAAAAAAAACAAAAATTAAGTAAACAGAAGAACAAATCTAGGGTAAATCGATCTTTAGTTGATAGCTTAAGTACAAATCCTTTGTTTCTCACTCAACTTACGTTCCTATTTTCAGAAGTACTGTGTGTTTTTTTTTTCTTTTCCTCTGTAATTAATTTCGTTTGTTTTGTGCATCGTAGCAAGAGCAACACCGATGGGAACAAATTTTAGTTGTTAGTGAAGATGTGCAACGTTTTATGAATTTCTTTACTTTATTTTCCAGAGAAGCTTTAATTAACTCTTTAAGACGACGTGGATTGTAAACTGTTAGTGAAATCTTATATACAAATATATATATATATATATTACTATTAAATGATACCAGAGATTATATAATAATTATATAAATATAAATAAATGGAAAGCAATATACAAAAAAGATACATCCTTTAGTCCTTAAATCTTGAAAGTTTCGATAATCCTTTTTTATTTGATCAATCAATAAAATTAGTCATATTACTTAGATTTAGATTATATATAGGAAATTCAATCATCTACAGTTAATTTGTTGCTTAAAAATCCGGAATTTTGTATTAAAACTAAGAAATTACTTTGATTTCTATAAAAAAAAAAATTGAAAAAGTCTGGAAAATTGTGAAATTATCATTTCATTCATAAATTATCTAAATTTTCTCATAAACTATTTAGTTTTTTTTTGCAATCTTAGTATTAGTAATGATTTTAGTTTAAATAATATAATTCATGAAACTTTATCTAAAACACATAAAAACATATGTAAATGCATGTATAATTATAAAATTTTTAGGATATATTGTATCCTAATATTTTAATTGATTTTGTAGTATAATCCAGAATTGTGTATAGATTTTTAGATAAACTATATAGATTGAATAAAATATGAAAAATAATTGTAATATTGTAAAGTGTATTCAAAATTTATAAAAAAAATGAACAACGTTAATATTAATTTAATTGTCAAGGCACGTTTTTTTTTTCTACCACATTCGAATTTCAATTTGTACTTTAATATATGCAACTTCATTTGCACGTTCATAATTTCATCTATTTTTTTTACTCAAAGTTTTAATAAATATGTTTTTAAATTATTATTAACAATTAATTAACTAAATTATCTAATACAAGTTTTGATTCTTTAATACAATTTTAAGACATTTTTAACAATTACCAAAGCGTTAATGAAGTTGCATGTATTATACAACATAATAGATTTATTTTTAAAAAATTGTCAGTGTGACATAAGCTAAGTGTAGTGGGGGAAACAGTAGAGGCCTTCCCTTTGGAATAAGAAGAAGAAAGAAAGTGATATTTTGAACAAAATAACGTTACAAGATTAAGAAACACTGATTTATATGTCGAATTAAGCTGAAAGCTATATGAATTATTAAATTTAAGAAAGACTGGTTTAAAATTTTGGCATTTAATGGCCAATGACATTTTTTTTTATCGTACATTCGAATTTCGATTCGTACATTAATATATGCAACTTCTTTTGCATCTTCATAATTTCATCTTTTTTTTAATCAAAGTTTTAATAAATATGTTTTCTAAATTATTATTAACAATTAATTAAATAAATTATCTGATGCAAATTTTGATTCTTTCCTAAATTATTTAATGGAATTTTAAGAATTGTTTAACAATTAATGATTACCAAAGTGTTAATTAAGTTGCATATATTATACAATATAATAAAAAAAATTGTCAGTATGACATAAGCTAAGTGTAGTGGGGGAAAGCAGTAAAGGTCTTCCCTTTTGAAGAAGAAGAAGAAGAAGAAGAAGAAAGTGATATTCTCAACAAATTAACGTTACAAGTTTAAGAAACACTGGTTTAATGTTTTGTTTAATTTCAGAAAATTAAAAATTATTTTGATAAAATTTTAACAATTTTGCATTTTTCTTATAATTTTGAGCAATTTGAGAAACACTGATTTAAATGAATGAATCCAATAGATTTTCTTTAGATAAAATAAATCATATTTTCAACTTTACGTCTTTTCTTACCAATAACGTTAGAAACACTGATTTAAATTAAGTATTATTATTAAAAAAAAATGTAGGATTTTGTCGAAATTTTCATCTTCATCAAGTGTTTGAGAAACAGTGAGTTTTGTTGAAATTTGGTCTGAAAATCAAAGGGGGCGTTGGAAAATAAAACAATAAGTAAATAAATATTTATTAAACAGTTAAAAGCATCACTGCGTAAATTGTGCATTGAAATGTACAAGTTATTAATAATAATAATAATGTAATAATACACATTTCTCTTTTAACATACATTTTTTTATACATATACTTATAATTTTTCAAACAAAACATTCCTTTCGTGTGTTGATTTTTTTTTGTTTTTCGTTTACATCAAATACAAATTGATTGTCATTGTAACAAGAATATATATTTATATAAGTACATAATGTAAGTAAGAAGTCAGAGTAGTAATAATTTCAATATGTTTATGTTCTCATACATATTTACAACAGGTATAGTTTATTTATATATATGTACATAGTTGGTTAGTTTTCAAGAAAAGATACAAAAAAGAAGACGAAATGAAAAGTTTCTTTATTTATTTGTAAAATATTATTGATAATAAAAATATTAACAAGACGCCGTCCGTCTGGCAGTTTGTGCAAATCAATCAATACAATAATTGTTATTATTAACACACGCATCTGGGGTTTATCCAAAACATTTTCATCACTTGAAGCCAAGAAACTTAACGAATAAGAAAAAGAAAATAATAAAGAGATCGACAACATCCAGAATATTGTTAAGAGTATAAATATAAAATATCTTATTTACAAATATGTTTCTTACAATTTATAATGTACAATTGTTTCGTGAAAGGCTTTTGTTTTAACAAACTTTGATATTGTTTAATTTTTCAATTTCATTTTTTTTTTCGTTTCGAAATGGATCGTTGTGAAAATCGTAACTTTTGAGCAAATCATAACTGCCGAAAGGTTGGTTTTTAATTAATATTAAAGCCACATCAAAAGACAATTCCTGTGTGTGTGTGTGAGTGTTTTCGATTTGTGTGTATTTAGTGTGTTTTATGTAGAAGAAAAAGTTCTTTTTTGTTTGTTTGTTGTGTTAGATTCTTTAAGATGTTTTGGGTTTTTCACGTCACATCTCCTGGGTTTCTGAGGCCTGTTAAGAGGATGGTGGAGTTCTTGAGTGAAGCCAGACGTACTCTCGCCCCGGATGGGGCGAGAAGCAACCCTCATGTCCTCACGAACTTATAAACAACAGCGAACACGAGTACGCTCACTAGGACGAGAACCAAGGCCGTCACGACTTTGGCGAAGGCGTTTAGACCACTCTCGTTGGGATCCAGGGGGCGACTGTTGTTGTTCTGCTGGGATCTTCTCCGTTTGCTCGCCAAACCTCTTGCCAGAGCCGGGAAAGCTAAGCTCTGAGTGAAGGTGAGTTTGTGCAGACTTTCGCTCAAGGAGTAGGGACCCACGCTTCCTCTAGCCGCAGCTCTCAGAAGCGCGTATTCCAGGTCTAAAGCATCGAACAGAGAGTACCTGTAAATTTAAGAAAAAACGTATTCTTAACTGCACTTTTACGATTCCTAGTTGTGAGGACTACCTGGCTGTCATTGTTGAAGATCTCCTTCTGCTGTCCGTGGGATCGCTCGCCCTTGACCCTATGGCAGTGACGGCCGCAGCGACGGAGGTCAGACTGGAAGTCGTGCTCGAGGAGGGCGAGGCGTGACCGTTGTGGAAGTCGGTCATGTCTTCGATGGAAGTCTGCTCCGGCGACGACGAAGACGGATACAGCCGGAATATCCGCGCGTGATCGGGATGGAGTAAGGAACTGCTCGGTCTTCTCGCACTAGGAGTCGGCGATGGGATCGGAGATGCCGTCGAGTTACATGCCACAGGTGATGGTGACACCTATCACAAATTACAAAAAAAATGTCATAATAATCAATTGTTTTTATGACGACCTGTCAGATTGTTAGGTTATGATAGGTTGTCAAAAGTCATTTTTTTATATAATTTTGATAATGAAAACTTCTACGTTACTTATTTGTAAACTGTCTGTAATTTATCCAAGTACCTGTGATCTCTCAATTATCTGTCAAATTACTATCACCTATTTACTAAATTTATATCAGGTATTTGTTAACTATCTCTTAAGTATTTGAGAATTCGATTACACAAAATGAAAATTCAATTTGACACATTTTGATATACCTAGTATGTTGATATCTGTCATATAACAGTCAAAGATCTGTCAAGTATTTGTAAACTATCTGTCATGTATCTACCAAGTATCTATCAACTATTTATCATTAATCTATTAAGTATCTGTAAACTGTCTATCATTTATGTACAAAGTATATAAAAATATTTGACAGATAGTAAATTGTCAAATATTTACCATATATTTGTCAATTATATATCGTACCAAAAATGCTGAAAAATTTGACTGAAAATCCAATTGGACAAAATTTGATATACCAAATATGTTGATAGTTGATATCTGTCATATAACAGTCAATGGTCTGTCAAGTATTTGTTAGCTATCTGTCATGTAACAATCAACTATGTGTCACTAATCTATTAGGTATCTGTAAACTGTCATTTATGTACAAAGTATCTAAAAATGTTTGACAGATAGTAAACTGTCAAATATTTACAATATATTTGTCAACTATATATCATACCAAAAATGCTGAAAAATTTGACTGGAATGAGACAAAATTCATATTTTTTTAGTATTTGTTAATTATGTGTCAAATAAATATTAGGTATCTTTCAACTATCTGTCTTTTAAAAGTCAAATGTCTGTCATCTATCTGTCAAATAATTTTGAATTAGCTGTCAAATATCTGTTGATAATGTGTATGAAGTTAGTTTACTTGTTTACAATATATTTGTCAACTATATATCATACTAAAAATGCTGAAAATTTTGACTGAAATAAGACAAAATTCATATTTTTTAGTATTTGTTAATTATGTGTCAAATAAATATTAGGTATCTTTCAACTATCTGTCATTTAAAAGTCAAATGTCTGTCATCTATCTGTCAAATAATTTTGAATGAACTGTCAAATATCTGTTGATAATGTGTATGAAGTTAGTTTACTTGTTTACAATATATTTTTCAACTATATATCATACCAAAAATACTGAAAAATTTCACTGAAATAAGACAAAATTCATATTTTTTTAGTATATGTTAATTATGTCTCAAATATATATTAGGTATCTTTCAACTATCTGTCATTTAAAAGTCAAATGTCTGTCATCTATCTGTCAAATAATTTTGAATTAACTGTCAATTATCTGTTGATAATGTGTATGAAGTTAGTTTACTTGTGTGGATTCGATGCCGGAATCGTGATGGTTGGCGTCGCAGCACGTTGAAGCTTGTGATGCGGCGTCTTCGGCGCAGGCTGGGAAGACGAAACTCTGGCCGTCGGCCTCGCCACGTGGTGAATCCGAACTGGGCCACACCTAAGCCCAAAGCCCGCATCATGAAAATCACATCTATTTTCGGATCTTGCCGTTAAGAAACGGTGGTGACACACACAGAAAAAAAAAAGAAAGAAGGAAAAACGAGAGGAAGATATGAACTGATCCATATCACGGATGTATGTGGGGAAACGTACAATTTCAGGGATGAGATTTTGGATGCAAAGTGAAACTGGGACACAGGGTGAAAAGAATATTTATAATGCTACATCAGGTGGGAAGAAATAATGATCATCGTTTCATGTCTTTTTCTCTATATCCTTCAAAAAAATTCTCTAAAGACATGACATTTGTCACGTGTTTATCAATAGTGATTCGTATGACAAGCTGTCAACACTATGTAAACTGTATGTCAAATATCTGTCAATTATATGTAAACTAACCTAAGCTATCTATTCTATGTAAACAATCTGTCAATAATGACAACAGTATGACAATATAACCTAAACTGTCAACTTTACATGTGTCAAGTATTTCTAAACTAACCTAACTTGTCTTTACACAAACTAACATATGTCAAAATATTAAAAAAAAAATATATTGTTAAGCAAATATTGAAGAAACAAATGTTAACACCAATTAAATTGTCAGAGTGTTTAGAAGATTGATGTAATGTTAAGAGGAAATAAGAAAACCGATGAATGCAAACATTAGCGTGGACAAATTATGGGTAGGATTTCCGTTCGCGTATTGGAGATGATTTAGTGTAGACGGCAAAAAGTTTTTCCATTAAGGTTCTGCGGCTCGCGGAAAACCACAATTTGTGAGCGCGCAGAATTAAACGCGTTATTAATGCGTTTCAAATTATTTCTCACATCCCGAAACATAATTTAAAACGAATCATGAATTTTAAAGAATAACAAGAAAACCTAAGATTTTGAGTTTATTACCTGGAGTAAAGGTAAGGAACAATTCGGTCCAGGTTTAGTTTCTTCAGTCGGAGACGAATCTCCTAATCCACCTTGTTCGCATTGCGAACTCGAGCTGCTGTTCGACGATCTTACAGCAGACCAAAACCGCTTCAATCCGCTTTCTCGAATCGGCTTCTGAAAACAAGAAACAACAATTTTCAATTTAAACATCATCACAATTTTCGCTTTCAAATTCAAATATTTCTCAACAATTTATTTACACTTTTCATATAATTATCTAATTACGTACAAAAGAAGACAATTTGATGAAAAAAAAATTACGTAAAAAATCTGCACAAAGTGAAATAAAACAGTTTGAAATATCTAATTAATTCGTTAATTATTTAAATTTCTTTCAAGCAGTGCAGTTTGTATCCACCCTTATATAATATATTTTTTTTCACTCAGCGTTTAAGCTGATTAGCGAATCTTTCTTCGCCTTCTTTTTTCGCGTCCTATGGGACCCACAGACCATTTTTAATTGCTGCACGCTCACAAATTATGTTCAACTTTGTTACGAGCGAAAAAAAAAACGAAAGACAAAAAAAAAACTTTGCTTTTCCATCCGCATTATAGCTCAAGAGAAAATAAGGAAAAGAAAGATAATTTGCATTTTACCGCCGCAAACTTTATTAGTTAGCACATCTTTAATTCACGAAACAAATGTTGACTTTCAAGTTTATTCGCAAAAGTTTCTTAATGATTGAATTAATTCTTTATTTAATGCAGATTCTTTTAATTTATTTTACTGTGATTAACAATTAATGAAATTTCAATTTAATTAAATGGAACATAAAACTTTGTTTTTTCTTTGGTTGAAATCATAAATTTATTTGTAAAATTAAGTAAATTATTGAAGCTAAATGTATCTTAAATTTTAAAATTTTATAAAAAATTCAAGAAATAATATATTTATGAATCGATTTACTTGTTGTATAAACTAGAGTTTACCTCTAAAACTAAAGTAAAGTTATTATTTGAAACAGGAGCAGACGCGAACGTTCTGGTGAACGTAATTAATGTTGCAATAAACGATTTAAAGTGTGATTCCATTCTCGTCGGATGAAGCATGAAATCCATAAAATCTCTGCGCGATTTGCGACTCAATTAAGTTTACAGCGCGGCAATAAAAGTACAGAAACTCCGACTTCATTCTAAACGAACTTAACGTCAAAGTTAATTAATTTATGATTATTTAAAACGAACATAAAAATTAAATAGAAAATAAAACAAAAAAAAAACATGCGTGCAGAAAAAAAAACGTAATAAATATGCAAATGTACAGTTCTCTCATTAAACGACTTTTATTTAAATTTCTTGCGTATATTCTGCGCATTTTCTAGTGGAATCTCGAGACGTTGAAGAAACGATCCAGCTTAGTTTGAAATGGAGAACCCTGAAAGGATTAATCGTCGTGGTTTTGGTTAATTAATTGCTCTTACTCTCCGTACACAAAATCCCAACCTCGAGCAGATTTACTACATTTGTGTTACGTATCAAAGCTTATATACTTATATAATGTTACATTTCTAAGCGACAAAAAAATACGTAAAATATTTCAATAAAAGTAAACTAATTAAATAAATGCACTAAAGATTAAAATAAAACTTATTGGAGTTTGCTGAGAGATAAGAGATGAGATTTTTGTTGAGATCAAAATGGGATTAATTTAATTAAAGTGGTTTTTTCCTTGTTCCGAGATTAAACAATGGGAAAATACTTTAATTAATGAAGACTTCTCATGCGTGCTTCATGAATTTAATAGTCTCAATGAAAACAAAAATAAATCCTAATAAAATTCATATTTTATGGAAGAAAGTATTATATTAAGAAATTTAATCATAATTTACTTGCTAAAATTATTTGTTTAATTATTATTAATAACTTTCTTAATTTCATTGAAAAAAAAATAGATTTTTTGAGTTTTTTTTTCTCTAAATTATTACAATATTTTTTTAGAACTAATTGTGTTTTCACAAATTAATTACTGAATTTGATAGATTAGTTAATCTAATTAAAGTTTAATGAGTTACAATTACTTTTTCATATTGAAGTTTTGTAATTTAGAAAGAAAAAATATCTTAAGCTTTCTGTAAATTTTCAACTGAAGTAAATTATTGAATCTATTAGTGTGTAAACAAGATTATAGATTAATGGAATAATGGAACGTGTATAATAGTAATAATAATCGTTTTCTGAGTGAAATACGGACGAATCGTGATCAAATCCTTTAACCTTTCCAAATTGACATTGATAGAACCGCGACGATTCTATTATGGAATTCGTAATAAAAGGAGGAGGAAAGGCCTCTTCCTACCAGTGATAAATCAGAGCGGACGCTTCCAACCAGACCCGGCGCATCCACCACATACATACACAAAAAGCAACTCTTTGGATTAAGTTTCGCAGTAATAAATTCGATTTCCGCTTTCAAATTCAAAAAAGGAGACACGCGATCTTCGCAATTGCACGCGAAATACTTACAAATTTAATGCAATTTTTCAATATTTCGTTATTAAAATGTATATTTTTAATTCATTATTCACAAACTTATTAATTTTTAAGTAAATTGTTGATCATTTTGTATATTTACTAGAAAATTTTTGATTTTTATATTAAAAAATGTATAGTTTTTGGATAAAACTAATTGAGTCGGACCCAAAACAATCCCTTGAGGTACACAATTTTTCAATATTAATAATACGTTTTATTTATAAAATTGAACTGACTCAAAAATTTGGCGGATGTGCCATGAAAACAAAAGATAATAAATATCTTAAAAAACATCGTTTCGCTTTTATTTCTATACAAAATGTTGGCGGTCCACGAAGGCTTCGTAAAACATATGCCGCATGCAACATCCATCCCGTGACAAGAACATTATCGTAATCACAATTTAACGTCGCGTATGCAAATTATGGGAGCACAAAAGAGACGCGTTCGGTATTTATTGACCCGACGGTCGTTTTCATTAACATTACGTAAAGGTCGAAACAAAAGCCGAAATCGATAAACGCGCACCTCCGTTGTTTTTTTACACACACACAAAAATAGCCAACTCCAACTTTTATCCATAACCATAGCAACAGTTTTTGTTTTTGTTTATATCCCAAAACGTGTCATTTTAATCGTATTTTCAGTGCATAGTTGTTTCATGTATAAAGTACAAAATTTGCCAAATTTATAAAGAATTTTTGTGTAAATTTTAATAATAAATAAAATAACGTAACTTTTTTTCATTTAAATATAAAAAAATGTATAGATTTTCTTTTTAGTTGTGAAAATAGAGAAAAATCTATCATAACAAAACATTTGATTTTTTTTTATATTTTATACTAAATTTTAGACAATTTCAATCAGAAATAAAATAGATTATTTACAAATATTTATTATAACATTTTCTGAAGATTTTGTCTGTTTCTTCATAAAATATATTAAATTTCAAGCTTAATTTTGTAAAAAAATCATTTATTTTGAATTTAGTATATTTTAAATTTAAAAATTCGAAAATTTTAATAATAAATTCAATAAACAATCTAATAATAATTGCTTTGATTTACAGTCAATTTTCTCATGTAAAAATTAACGATAAACTTACTTGCAATTATTAATAATTGTGTAAATAAATATGAATCATGGGTTTATCTGGCGTTCGCACACGATCATAGGTGCGGTTATGTAACGTGCAATTAGCATTTGAGCCCGAATCAGTGTGGCCTAATTGAAGAGCAGATAGCGAGCGAAACGCTGATACTAGTGGGGTTTTGGTTCCACATATAATGCTCGAGCGTGTCCCCAAATTTAACGGCATCAAAGGTGGATTAATGTCATCCCGACAAATCCATATTCCACATTGCATAACCTCCCTATTATGGACACAATTGACGCACACTTACATTAACATTCTCAAGTTGCATAATCATTATAATGTTGGTAGCAACAAAATTAGTTTTTCAATTGCTCAATTTCTTTTTTTGTTTATAGTTGCATTTTTGCATTGTTGCCAATATTTAATAAATGTGTCTGCTTATTCTCTTTTGTTTTCGGTGATTACGCAATAGATATAACCTTAAAAATTGTATTATTAACATTATGTAATGAAATAAAACAATTGCTGTTTAAAAATAAGCTCGAAAATTTTATGATGTACAAAATTTATATTTTTCATTAAAAAATTGGACTAAATTTACTACAATATTTTTATTCTTTTGATTTAAATATGTAACAATATTGCTTTTCAACTGTTTCCAAATTAAACTTTTATAAAAATGTGTATCTGTTATTCTTTTCTTTGATCATTTGTTTTATATTACAGATTTGCAATGTTGCCACTTTGTTTATTTTTTCTTTTGTTTCTGATGATTATACAATTAGATATAACCTTAAATTTGAATCGTTAATATTACGTAATGAAATAAAACAATTATTGCTTGTAAATAAACAAAAATCGATATTTTTATGTAATTTTTTTGTCGTTTAAAAGTTGACTTAGTTTTTCAAATAATTCAAATAAATCATTTTCGGTTTTCTGTTTTCTTCTATAAAATTATGTTTCTGTTATTCTTGTTTTTGATCATTTGTTTTATATTTGCAATGTTGCCACTTTGTTTATTTTTTCTTTTGTTTCTGATTATTATACGATTAGGTATAACCTTAAATTTGAATCGTTAATATTACGTAATGAAATAAAACAATTATTGCTTGTAAATAAACAAAAATCGATATTTTTATGTAATTTTTTTGTCGTTTAAAAGTTGACTTAGTTTTTCAAATTATTCAAACAAATCATTTTTGGTTTTCTACTTTACACAATCATTATTATGTAACAATACTTGTTTTCAACTGTTTCCAAATTAATCTTCTATAAAATTATGTTTCTGTTATATTTTTCTTGATCATTTGTTTTATATTTGCAATGTTGCCACTTTGTTTATTTTTTCTTTTGTTTCTGATGATTATACAATTAGGTATAACCTTAAATCTGAATCGTTAATATTACGTAATGAAATAAAACAATTAATGCTTGTAAATAAACAGAAATCGATTTTTTTATGTAATTTTTTGTCATTCAAAAGTTGACTAAGTTTTTCAAATAATTCAAACAAATCATTTTCGGTTTTCTGTTTTAAACAATC